AGCTGAGGACCTCAGAGACTTGGCAGGCCATACAGAACCACTTACCGCTTCCTCCCTGGGGAGTGGCAAGATGAGACCTATTTTTGCAAGATTTCCTCCATTTCAAGTTTTGAATATTAGCGTAAATGTTCTTTCAGTGGGGGCACACCTGTAACTCCGAGTGGCCACACCCAATCCTATGAAGCCCTTATCACTGGCCTCTCCAATACCTGTTTTCTGACCACAGGATAAGTTCCATGGTGGATGAAGATGGATGAAGACTTACTTGAAGGAGTGGAGAAGAGGAAAGAGATAGAGCTGCAGGGCTTAGATGCAAGGAGGTGGTCTGTTCCCCTGTTACACTCTGCTCAGCTCTACAGCATCTCACTATGTGTGGAGACGTCTAAGAGTAGCTCGTAGCAGTTCAGTACTTTACTGCAGACAGCAACAAAGATTATGTGAAATTATCAGTTCTTCTGAGATAGGAGACCAGGAAACACCTCCTTCATCCTCACAACTGACCCCTTATGTGACCTTGGATACGTCACATTAGGCCCTCCAAGGGTCTTCCTCTTAGAAGCTGTAGGCCTGCCGAAGCTGACTGCTAAGGCCTTGTCAGACATGCTGCATCACTGATAGGCAAAACAGGGTCTGATGCCGAGGAGACAAAGGGACGGCCATAGAGGCGCATTTCACATTTGCCTTGCAGGGATGCAGTAGAACTGAAGGGACCAGAGGGTCCACTTGTGAGAACTGCACCTCTCCTCTGAGCAGCACTGATTCCCCAGGGCTGGGTCTTCCTCTCCGAGACCTTTTTGTCCTCCTTCTATTTCTTTTGCCCAGACCTGTTTCACCCTTCATGCAGACATCTAAGCCCTGCGGCTCTATCTCTTCCCTCCTCTCCTTCAAGTAAGTTTTCACCCATCTTGATCTCCTCTCTGCTTTGCTCTTTGAACACCAAGAATCAAGAACAGCATACAAGGCTGCCATTCCACCCTGTGGCACTCCACAGAGCAGCCCTTCGCTGCCACTTCCCGGTACCTAGCACGGGCTTGTCGCAAAGCAGGAGTTCAGAGTCATTTGTTTGTTAAATAAATAATAGCCCATCCGATCCTGCCTCCTCTTTGCCGCAATCCCTCCTCTGCCCAAAAGGCTCCTGGCATGATTAGTTCCCCGTCTGCGTCGTCTCTGCACGGCTCAGCTCAGAATGAGCTCAAAGCCGCTCCTTCTGCAGTCTCTCAGGACTGAACCTCCTAAGGACTTTACTGATTTTTCCCACCTATGGCATTATTTGTATCCTGCATAATATTTTAATTATTTGTCAGCTCTTCTTACTCCCTTTCCAGCTAGATGGCTGGCACCCTATGGACATGAACTTGGCCTTCTCATACTTTATTTTAAAGAGAAACAAAATAACAAAAAAAGACAGAAACAAAACACAAGAACAATAAAAATGATACAAGATTTCAAAACAAGATAATCGGAATTAACAATGGTTGTTATATTACATATTGTTACCTTCAACGAAGTTGCCCAGATTACTAGATATAAGAATGCAAGATTGATAAAACAGTTGAAGAGAATAAAAAGCAATAAAAAACACTAGAAATGATACAAAGCTTCACTAAGTAAGATGGTAGGAATTCAACAAGAGTTGTTATATTGCATATTGTCTTAATATTAAAATACTTGTCTTAATATTAAGACAAGATTGCATTATAAGACAATATTACATATTGTCTTAATATTAAAATACTTAAAACTAGTTGTTCAGATTACCAGACATAAGCATGCAAAATTGGTCAAGAAAAAAATATTTAAGCGTTAACTGTTCCTTTCAATAAACCAATAGACATCAGCAGTACAATTATCCCAGCTATCCTTCTATGTACATATATATTTTCCCTTCTTCCTTTTCTCCTTTCTCTCATCCCAGCCATTCCCTCCCTCTTGAGAAATTTTTTCCCCTTTCACAATAGCTATTGTACCTTTTGGGTTGTATTTGCTTTTTCAGGTTCCTACACCAGGGAAATAATATCATGTTTACATATGTGTATCCAATTTATTTCACTTATGAGTATGGTCCATTTACCTACAAAAATCTTGAGTTTATCTTTTTTTATAGCTGAGTAATACTCCATTGTATAAAAATACCACATCTTTTTTATCCATTCCACAGTTAATGAACATTTGGGTTGTACCCAATATTTAGCTATGACAAATTGTGCTGCTATAAACATGAGTACACATACATCACTGTGTTATGATGCTTTCAGTTCTTCTGGAAAAATACCCAGTAGGGGAATAGCTGGGTTAAGTAGGACCTCTAATTCTAGTTTTGTGAGGAATCACCACACTAATTTCTATAATGGTTTCACAAGTCTACACTCCCAGCAGCAGTGCAGAAGTGTTCCTTTTTCCCCACAGCTCCTCCAGCATTTGTTATTGGTTGATTTCTTGATGATAGCCTTTGTTTCTGGAGTGAGATGGAATCTCAGTGTTGTTTTAATTTGCATTTCTTGAATGGCTAATGATGTTGAAATTTTTTTCATGTATTTATTCACCACTAGTATGTCTTGAGAAGTGTGTATTCATCTCAGATGGGCATTTTGGGATTGGGTTTTGAATTTTGGGAGTCTGATATTGCTTAATTCTGTATATGTTCTAGATAGAAGTCCTTTGAAGGGCAGTTGGCTAAAATTTTTTCCCAATTCATGAGTTTTCTTTTTACTCTGGTGATTTTTTTTTTTTTCGATGTGCAAAAACTTTCCAATAAGGTGAGATCTCAGTTGTTGATTCTTTGAAGTATTTTCAGTGCAGTTTGGTTTTTGTTCATGAACTCTCTGCCTACTCCCATATCTTCAAGATTTCCACCTACTTTCTCTTCCAGTAGATTTAGTGTTTCTGTTTTAATATTTAGATCTTTGATCCATTTTGACATTAGTTTAGTGCATGGTAATAGGAATGTATATAGGTTTAGTCTTTGACATGTGGAAAGCCAGTTTTTCCAGCACCACTTATTAAAGAGGCTATCTTTCTTCCAGTGAACATGTTTGGCCCCTTTGTCAAAGATAAGGTGACTGAGTGTGTCTGTAGTTGTGTCTGCATCTTCTAATCTGTTCCATTGATCTTCAGGTCTGTTTTTTACCAGTACCATGCTGATTTTATCACAGTAGCTTTGTAGTACAATTTCAAATGAGGGATTGTGATACCTCCTGCCTTTCCTTTGTTGCCCAGGATTGCTTTTGCTATTCTAGGCCTCTTCTGGTTCCAGATGAATTTTAGGAATGTTTTCTCTAGATCTGTGAGGTATACTAATGGTATGTTAATTGGGATTGCATTGAATTTGTACAGCAATTTTGGGAATATGGCCATTTTCACAATATTAGTGCTTTCTATCCATGAGCAAGGAATATCTTTCCATTTTCGGATATCATCTTTTTTCAGAGTATTATAATTTTCACTGTACAGATCTGTTACTTCCTTTGTTAGATTGATTCCTGTTTCATCTTTTTAGATTCTATTGTGAAAGATGTGGTTTCCCTAATTTCTCTCTCAGCCTTCTCATATTTTTATTATCAGTGTATGAATTGGATTTGAGTTCTATGATAAAAATTAAGAATAATACAGTAGAATTATGTGATATTTGAGCAATGTTTTAGAGTTTAAAGAGTTATTAAACAACAAAAAAAGTAAAAAGATGTGTCTAACAAAAATATGAAATTGTAAAGGGAGTAAGGGAGGGAGGTAACCATTCCAATGCTGGATGGTAAATTTGAGAATACATTCATTACCTCAGTGTCCAGTATACTTGGCAGTGGAAAAAAATTGTGTTTATATAAAATATTCTAATAATCTCCAAGAAATTGTTAAAAATCTGAACATTTGCTTTATCATAGGTACTGCAAATTGTTTTCATTATAAGCAAAGACATATATCTAAGTTATATATCTTATTGAAAATTTATACATTTACTCATTGAAACTGTGCTTGATATATCCAAAAGTAGCAAATTCCTTAATTTTTCTCTTTCTTGGCTTAGTTGAAGCTATACCCAGCAGAGAAGAGCCACATTGTCATGTAATATTTATCAACACTATTTACGACTGCAATGATAGAGTATCTTAGCTATTCAGGCTGCTGTTACAAAATGCCATGGATATGTGTTTTTGTTTGTTCGATTGATTGATTGGTTGGTTCATTTTAGTGGTACTAGAGATTGAACCCAAGGTCTTTACACTGAGCTACATCCACTACCTTTTTTCTTTTGAGACAGACTTGCTAAGTTGCTATATTGAACAAGCTGGGCTTGAGTTTGCAATCCTCTTGCCTCAACTCGAATGTGTGCTGGAGTTAAACTCATGTGTCACCATGTCCAGCTTAGTGGATGGTTTATAGACAACAAAATACATTTCTCACAGTTCTGAAGTCTGGACAGTCAAGATCAAGGCACAAGCAAATTTATTTTCTGAAGAGAGCTGAATCCTCAGTGGCCATCTTTTCACTCATTTGCCCTAAGGGCCAAGGGACCTTCCTAGGGTCTCTTTCAAAAGTGCATCAGTCCTGTTCATAGACCCTGATGATCATATCACCTCCCAAAGTTTCCACCTTCTAGTGCTATCACATTAAGAATTAGGTTTCTACATAGGAATTTTAAGGAGAGACACCCACATTCAGATCATAGTAGAAAGCTTTGGGTTACTGAATAATTCCAACATGTGATAAACAGCTTACTGTGCCATTTAAATATCATTACAATCTTGTTTTACAAATGGAGCACTGAAATGTTGGTTAATTGTTAATTGATTGCTAAGTGTCCAGAGCTGGGCTGCCAAGGAAGTCCTAACAAATTTCCATCCGCTTGCCTTCACTGGATCACAGTTGTAGGCCAGAGACCCCATCCCCCACATCCAGCCCAGTGCCACACAAGATACTGCCATCTTCCCCCATCTTCCCAGTGCGACCCACTGTGAAAAGGAGGTAAAATGCGGACCTCAAGTCTCAACATTTTGTTGTTGCAGGAAGACAAATTGAACTGCTGGAGAAACCTAATGGACAATCTCCTCAACCGGTAAGCTATTTCCTTTTTCTATGCTTTCGAGAAAGTCTATTCTTTATACTTTTCCACTTTCCATTAAATTCCCTGTCCATTTATGATACAGTTTTTATCACCTAAAACATTTGAGCCAGTGGACAGAGCATTTCCTGAAGGTTGTTTCTTTCTGGCTCACCCAGGTTTACACTGACTTCTGTGCTTTTCTGTTCACATTTGTTGTTGGGGGAGATGATTCTAAAACCCATGCATTGAGGTATGGCCTGTGTACATCTTCATGCTGAAGGCCTTAGTCAGTCTGCCCCCTCAAGGCATCTGGGAAGTTCTACCATACAGACTGTGACCCAGAAGACTGAGTCTCATTCTAGGAGCAGCAGCAGCAGCCTCCTCCAGGACCTTTTTAGAAATGCAGTGTCTTGTTTTTCTCATTGCTGAGACAAAATATACCCAAAGTTAAAAGAGAAAAGGTTGATTTAGCTCACAGTTTATAGAGGTTTTCCATGGCAGAGTGGCGTGGCAGGTGGGCATCACAGAGGAGAAACAGTTCATGGCAGGCAGAAGGTAGCAAAGCAACAAGGGAACCACAGATCTTTCTGCCTCTTACATTTATCCAGGCTACTTAGGGTGGGTGGCACTTACACCCTTAATCCTAGCGCCTTTGATCCTAGCTCTGCACCATGAATCAATTCCAGCATCACATGTTCTAGATCCTATGACCGAATGAGGCTTCAGGGGATGACACCTAGACATAATCCATAACATGCAGCTTCTCTGTTTCCCCCCTGGATCTCTTTAATCAGAAACTGTGGCGATGATATCCAGCCCTCTGATGTATTCTCAAGCTTAGGAATCAGGTTGTGGAATTACAGACTTTCCTTGCATTTAGTTCTCTGGTTCTCCCACCACCCTCATCATGTCCATCTCTTATGTGTTTTACTCCAGTAGCTGTAGTCTGCCCCCAGCCCTATGTACCCCTCAAAGGCAGTGGACACATTATCTTTGTTCCCCTTTGCAATTTCCAAACCCTTGCACTGCCTCCTTTGTGCGAAGCCTCATCTCCCTTTGGGAGCTCACTGTCATCTGCCTGTTCTGCCCTTTTCTCTGGTTGTCGCTACGCTTTGGGCACTTCCCAGCTACTCTGTATTATTTAGTACCCCAGGCTCAAAGCCTTCTTGACTTTCTGCACTTAGTCATTCTCAGCTACATTTCCATCTCCTTCCACAGCCACATCCTGGCCCATGGCACTCTCTGCAAACTGTAGATACTTGTACAACACAGGACACCATCTCTCAGTGCTCCAAGTTTCTGATGCTCAAAGATACCAAATTAGGGCTCTGGGTTTTCCCCCCTTCTTTCTAACCTCATGAGGAACTTTGGCCCCAGGACTCACATTAAACAATTAATTCAATAAGCTATTTAAGGGATGCCAAGAAGCCAAGATAAAAGGTAGCATGGGGGCAGGGTGATAGGGGTTGAAACTGAGGTCAAAAGGCAAAGGAAATAGTCAATGAAAAGTCCTTGATTCTTTTTTGGGGAAAAAGATGTCTTTTTTTTTTTCTATATTGATATCTTTAATGAAAATTAGGGAGGTCCTTAATATAGTTGTCTATCCTGTCCTGGAAAGACACTTACATTTAAAGATTGAAAAGAAGGCCAGTCTGGCTAAGAATAGAAATGAGATGATATGCTAGAGGGTTGTGTGTACCTGTACCTTATTTTATAAGATTGTACAAATTCTAAGTGAGTTACTGCAGTCAGTACTCACAATGTACTATGGTTGTGTTCTATAAAGTTTGCTCAAACAATGAGGTAGTGAATATGGAGCCACTGTCCCAGGGGAATATAGACACAAGTTCCTGTGAGTCCCATATCACATTTTCATCAGCCAATCAGTATATCACCTCATTTTATATGTGTTTCTACTTCATGTACCTTAGTTAAAAATATGTTGTTAATTAACTGACAGTGAGTTCAGAGCTAACAGCACCATATCTCACACCTGAATAAAGTTATCTAACACACACATTTTCTCTGCAAGGCACACCACAGCCTTCCTACCAAGGACGTCTGGGTAGCACTTTAGCAGTAGGCTTAGGACCTTTTAAAGAGTGAAACCACCAAAAAAATAGAAAGGAAGGAGGGAAAAAGAGTCAAAATGCACAAAAGAATGGCAATAAATAGATCACAAAAAGACATTTAGAATATAAGAGCTAAAGCAAGGAGGCAGACAATCAGTGGCCTTGTTTGAGCTTAGGTAGGAACACTCACCTCAGGTGACGCACAGTTTTTACCACTCTGCATACACCCAGGAATGACCACACAAGCACTGTGGGTTTGGGTTACTAATAAATTTGATCAACTGATTGAATTCATAAACACAGAATCCACAGTTAATGAAGGTCAATTGTACATGTAATGTCAGTCTCCGGTATATAAGAAGCTCTATGTAAGTTTGCTACTCTTGCCATCATATCTGTTATTATATGTTGCTAAATATCCTGAGGGCATTGCACACCTCTGAAAAGTTTTGTGGAGAGGGAATGACAGTGATTCAGGTTTGTGGCCTGAAAAGACGCTATGACTTATGTGTGGCAAATGTCTTGGAAGGAGACACGAGTGGATGAGGTGACAAGATATTGCAGTGATTGCTGTGAGAAGGCGACAGTGGTGTCTTAGAACAGGACACTGGTAGTTTACACAGAAAGAAGGGCCTAGGAGAGACTGCCAGAGGTAGCGTTTGTATGCCTGTGCCAACCTCCCCCGGTATGGAATCTGAAAAAACACGAGTAGCATCAGCTGCTGGCCTGCACCCAGAAGCATCAGAAGACGGCTTCAGAGCTCCTTGTCCTACATAGATTAAGCATATTATATTACTATATGGAACACATTGCTTCTGAGAGCTAGTATGTGGGACTTTTGCACATCAAGCAGATCCTCCCACTCCGGACACCAGCTAGTGTCCACCACTTCATTCACTTCTGATTCTGTCTGCCTGGAGTTGGCTGCCATCAGATGCTGTGAGTTAAGGACTCGGTCACACAAGACTTCCACACTTCAGATGGCTTCTGGACCATGTAGAACTTTACATTTCCCCGTGTGCATGATATGTGTGCATTTTTGTCTAATTATACATGGTTGTAGTTCATCATGATAATAGTAAAACAATGTATTATGGGTACTCACTTTTTTTCTTTTTTCTTGGTTTGTTCTTCTCTTTTTTTGGTACCAGGAATCAAACATAGCACCTCGAGCTTGCCAGGCAGGTGCAGTGCTACAGAGCTATATCCCCAGCCCCAGGGTATTAATTTTTAAAAGTTCTTATTCTATAAGAATTTTACAAAAGATCTGTAATCTTACAAAAGGTTTACAGAAGAGATGCAAAGATGGTACAGAGTGTTCCTATGCATGCTTCAGTCGACTTCCTCTGATGTTAACATCTTTCATGCTGTGCTCCATTTATCAGAACTAAGAACTTACTATTAGTACTGTACTAAGAAGACTCTGTCCACCGTGGCCCCTTTTCGAGGATCCAGTCCAGGACAGCGTACCTCAGTGAACTGTGGAATCTCTGTAGGCCCCTTCAGTCTCTTTTTCTCATTTCTCATTCTTTTATGACCTTGACCACTTGGTGAGCACTGCTCAGGTACTTAGTAGGACATGGTAACAGTTGTGTTCATGTAATACAGTGAATTGAGTTGGAGACCCAGACAGCTCAGGGTAGGGACCATCACCAGCAAGGCCACTGACCTCTGGTGGGTGGGCGTGAAGGTGTTGGGTGAAGACTCTCTAAAGCCTCACAGACTGTCCAATTTGCTAGATGCCAAGTTGGTGACCACACCTTGGGAGAGGGTAGAGTACTCCAGGTCCACAAGGAAGAATCTCCTGCTCTTGGCCCTTTTGGACTTGATCTTACATATTTCATCATCTGAGTGCTTATCTTTGTGTTTTATGACACATCTTAGAACAAACCAGCAAATGTAAGCAAAGCATTTCTCTGAGGTCTCTGAGGCATTCTAACAAATTATTGCACCTAAGGCAATGGTTATTTTGGGAACCCCAAAGATGTTCCTATGACTAAGATAGTCCCAAGAGTTTGAGGAGCTCTCTGTCAAGAACCAAGAGCAAAGACTGAATATACTTTTTTTTAATATCACAACTCCTGATATGACTTTAGATGGGTGTTTGTTTGTTTATTGTAGTGCCAGGGAGTAAGCCCAAGCCTATAGACTGAGCTATATCCCTATCCCTTTTTATTTTGAGACAGGGCCTCACTAAGTTGCCCAGGCAGGACTCAAACTGGAACTCTCTTGCTTCAGCATCCCAGAGTGCTGGGTTTATAGCTCTGCCCCACCATGCCCCACCAATGTGTTATGCTTTGTCCAGTCCTCCTGACATTGAAGCCATAGAAATGAAGGTGTAAGGCTGTCTCTGACATACGGAGGCAGATGCCCCACCAAAGGTGGGGATCTGAGCCTGCACTGCAACCTGAGCCAAAGTGGGAAATCAGCCTAACAAGCTGAGTTTCAGCAGATGATCCTATCACAGTGGTGGCCAAGAGCATGACAGAAGAGGGTCCACTGAATCCACGTAAAAAAGACATAGAGCTGCACACACGGAGTGGGGAAACGTCATCTTCATTCAGACTTTAGAAAGCATCTTCTCAAGTAGACCATGTGTGCATTGTCTGAGAATTCTCAGGGCACACATCCATTTTGTCAGAAACAAAGCCATTCTGGTTCCGCCCTGGCTCAGTACACCCTGGTGCTGCGGCACTCCTCCCTGAGCAGCAGGCTCAGTTGGAAGAAAATCTTCTGATTCCTCCATGAACAGCATCCTACCCAAGTAGCTGACTTTAGGGAAAAGTAGATGATGAAAATCTGATTGGATGAGATTGCGTGTGTGATTGGTTGAGCTCTGCGCAAGGTCTCGGGCACTTTCTCCTCAGATCCACCTGTGACAGTTTGCATGACTCCTTCAGCATGCACACTTGGCCCTCCGTACCCATGGGTTCCACATCA